GGGTTCAAGGGAACAGCAAGAAAATGACCGGACGGGAACAGAATAGAAACGGAATCACAAACAAAGAGTAGAATCTGTCTCTCTAAATCTGCTGCCCTGGCATTTGCAGAGGGTCGGAAGCGTGCAGGTTCAAAGTGGATTACACTATTCCGGATAGAGATGGAACACACGACTGACACATGTTGCATCTCGAAAGTCGGAAGAGAGGAAGGCAACTAACTTTTTCATAATCAATCGAAAAACTTGCTAACTAAATCATTCACCAGACTAAAAGAATCAGAATGTTCCCGTTCATATCGGTAACATATCTTTCCGACTGTTTGCTTTCCAACAAATTCTCGACACTATGCACAGGTAGTAGCGAAATCCAACGGAACAACGTAATCCTCGTCCCTGAATACCAGAATCTGTGTCGGTAGTTAAAGCGGAGGAAATGTAACTCAAACTGCTGACCTTAGGAATGTGTCCAGGATAACTTTCTGAACTTGTTTTGTTTCAAGGGGGGAGTCACCGAATGATGGTCAGCAAGTAAAGTTTTAGCACCGATACCGAACAATGGAAGTTCACATGCAAACACCGATGGAATCATCAAGAACTGACCTCGGAAACATGATTACACGGATGAATGAGATTACTTCTCGGTGAGAATTCATTCGAAAAATATCTATCTATCTATCGATCCGCGTAGAGAAACGACTTGATCAACAAAAGCATATGCATATTCCCATCACCAATAAGCTTGCTTCGTTCCGGATGCGTGTTTTCATGGATTGATACCTGGATAGTAAACCACAATTTATTTCCAGTGACCCAAAAGCAGCTTGCATGTGTTGTGTTCAGTGCGTGCACGTACCAGCTCTATTCGAAATGCATCGTTTTATGCTAATTTATGTCAAAGTAATACGAACTTCAGTTCACTAGAGAATTTAATTTTTTCCATCTATCCACCTTAATCTCCGAAAAAATTCTAACCATATGGGCACGAGTTTTTCTCAACATTCTACAGAAGCCTGCAATCTGTTTCAGTTTCGAATTATTGTGGCCATGCTCGGGCTGAAAATCCCTCTGCTGTTAATGGTGTGCAGTTGTACATCCCATTTCTACCCAGGCTGGATCCACTTTTGGTGTACCGCAATGCGATCACCTCCGCCCGTGCCTCAAATGGGAATTTCGTTGCTGATTTCGCTTCTCGGTTAGAATTGTTGTAGTCCTTGTCCTTCCTTGTCCACTCGCATCCCGGTGTCAGACACTAACCATTTATTTGTCCTCATCAGTTGCGCCTGAAAGCCTATTAAGCATAGGTGCTTGAATTTCCGCTTTGAGATACAACTAACCATTTTCCCCATCCACAGCATTTCTCCCTGTTTAAAGAGACAACAAGTTATGAGCTCCGATCTGGCTACCACCAGTATCTAGCAGTCATTCTTTATACTACAAGGTGTTCACGCACTTTTCCCGCAACACTTGTCACTCTGATGAGCAGTAGGAGCGCTGAATTCATCGTTCACTTCAACGTGAGCAATGCTATGCATGCACCCGAGCATACTACACGGGAGTAGCAGGNATGGTTACAAAAAACGTCGTATTCGATGAAAATAAAATGCAATATACAAACCGAGAGACTCGGGTGAGAAGAAACACAAAAGTATCCAATCAAACAGTGTGATATCACACCCGGTGAATTATTCACACGCACTTTTGTAATTGACGGGTTTTCGTGAACAAATTAATATGATGAGTGATCGACCGAATCAATTCTATGGCCTCAAGTGTTTACCCCAGCGGTTATGGAGAACGGAAACCTGAGCACCAGAACTTGGAATGGACATGGGACCTGTTCAACACCGGCTATAGATCAATCCTACAAGACCGATTTACGCCAGTCAGCAGCACAGTTCATAAGGAGAAATGGGACAGTGCTGAGAGAGTTGAAAAATATATAGTAAAATTGAATGAAAAATATATATGCGCGTGAATATAACTTTTCCTTCGCATAAACGAAGTATCTGAATTATTAAAATGACAGCAAATCATAATAGTACCGGGGCAAGCTGTTGTATTACTACAAAATTGCCCGTACCGCACTTACTACATAACGATAGCAAACGAACGATGAGACAGGATGGCTGTGTGATAAACCGTATCAACGGATACGAAAAACTAAAAACCTCGACAGTACCCGTAGCGTGTAGATCCCCAGAGTGGGAATGAAGCCAATTAAAA